TCGCATGACCATTTTCTTGAAAAACACCTGCCTGCCCCGCACCCGCATTTCTCACAGCCTCCTTCACAACTTCTTGGTAGTGTTGCTGCTTATCATGGAACGCTGCTATGTTTCGCCGCCAAATGTCCACCAACATAGATTGCAGTGAACAAACCTCCGCGTCGGCCATCTCAAGTCTTGTAGGCACAACACCAGCGTACTGCGTACAAACCGGCAAGGCAGCAACTGGACAAGTCATCTGAGATATTACGGGATCACGAATATCTGCGTGGATTGTGCACTCCCAGGAAACATGCATCACAGTTTTCGGAACTCCACAAACAGCGCAATTGAATTCTTGATGTATCCTCTTGTGACGGTGATCGCGCTCCTCAGTCATTAAACCACCTGCAAGCAACAAGCGCAGCACTGCAGTTTTTTGTCTGTACTCCTCTGTGGAAAAAGTCCCCAAAACATCATCATCCTTGCAAGCCTTGTTAGCCTCCTGCTCCCAGCTTTCGTGCAAAAGCATTGTACGTCTGAAATCCAGGTCCTGAATATCTCCGTAGTGCTGTGGTCTATCCTTCATAGCCTTTTCCACCAGAAAAACCCGCCAAGCCATCCGAAGTCGGTGCGCCCATTCTTGTTCATCAACATGTTGGTAAACAAGTTCATGAACAAGATTGTTAAACACCGGACTGTCCGCGAGCAACCGCAACCGCGCCGCAGGGCCCTCCACCCGAGTGGATCCCAAAATCCCACGGGATCTTGCACACCCATCTCCTGGTGCAAAGAATTACATGCAAACTTTCATGACGTTAATGATCTGGCGAGAGGCTGAGAGAATCTGCTGACTGCATCTGACTGCTATTGTCGGAGCTCCGTGGCAGGGTCGAAGCTGGCAGGAGAAGTGGTTGGGCCGCCGAAGAAGTTGCGGGCGACGCGGGGCTGAGAGGACCTGACCTGACCCGTGCACTTCGCAACAAGCATCACGATTTCAATCCTCGTCAGATAAATCAGCTGGTTTGCTCATGATGCCCTCACGCTCCATGCTGCCATGGCACGGAGGAGCGCGACAGGGCCGCCACCAAGACGCCTCGCACCCAGCTGCCTCCCTGTCTGCGGCTCTCTCTCTCTCTCGTCGGGGTGCTTCGGGCCTGCGCTGGCCACTGTGCCCACGGTCAGCGCCGAGAGGCCGCCATTGCTGCTGGGCGCCTCTGCGGCATGTGGGACCGCCCGGGGCGCTGGGGCGCTCGGAGCCGTTCCGGGCACGAAGAGCGGAGCCGCCACCTGAGTCGGATGAGAGAAGCAGGAAAGAGTTTGGGATCTGCACTAGGGCGAAGACCAGGCCGGCAGCGGGCAGAGCCAAGGCAAGACTACGCGGCGCCATTGCGAGGTCAGGTCAGGAGAACCAAGGGAAGAGCCGAAATGTGCTGGCAGAACTCCGACATGACATACTGAGCCAGGGAAGGACTCTGACCATGTGCACCTTAATGCATGATCTGAACTCTCACATGTCACCAGGCTGTGTGAGGTGAGGTCCATCGACTCTTGGCTTCGCTCCACGACTCACACCATGGCAGTCCAAAATCCTACAGGCCACAGCGTGCTAAGGCGGAAGCGAGCGCGGTGATGCCCAGGCTGTGTAAGCCTGCTCCGGACCCCCGAAACTCGAAACTGTCAATTTTAGTTTAGGATGGTTTTGGTTCAGCTCCCTTTATTTAGACCGTTCGATCCAATGTAATAACTTTTTGGGGGGAGTCTGCCGATTTTATCAGTTTGCATCCGCGGGGATAGATCGGACTAAATCCCAGAAACCCGGCCCCTCCTGACCAAGAAAACAAACGTCAAGCACTGCAACCACAGACCTGTTTGGGATGCCTGCAGTATCAGTCAGGTAGGATCCTAGATGGCTACAGCTACAACAAGGCCTTGGTTGGGTTAATGTATCTAGTAAATCTCATGCATACAATGAACAGTTGCTACAGTCCCCAAAATGATAAACCATCAAGTCCCAGCCTCTTTTCATTTCATCAGCGAGGTCCTTCCACTCCTGAAAGTCGATGCCTGCACCAACTCCGATCGAGTTGCAAAAAGACGGGTCTAGAAGTGTTGAGAGTGGAGAATGCAGCCACCGTGCAAAGGAAGATGTTTTGTAACCTGAAGGATGACAAATATTTGATGAAAGGTTTGTGGAGCGTTCCGGGTGGGACTTTGCCTGTCATAAGGTCCGACAACACTGCAGAGCCAGCACCCGATTCCTGCAAGAGCCGGGCGCTGTTCATGGGGTATCAAGGGAGAGTAGGACAGGTCGGTAAAGGGGCACGGTTGACCTGCTTGGACAGCGGTTTCATCAACAAACTTGACTACGCCAACCCAAGACAGAATCTGACCCTGAAGAATCTTGTCTGGTGGCTGAAATCCGCAATGCATACTTCACCGCTGAGGCTCTAAAATCTCTAGAACCACTGCAACCCGCTACGAACAAAACTCTCAAAGGATGCTCGACTGACACTCATGCTGCTGACGACGGTGGCACAACTCGAAAACAAGGGAAACAACGGAACACGCTTGCAGCACCTCGTCACAATGGAAGAACACTGGTAGTTGTAGAAGGTTCATCTGCAGCCCCGAAGGTTGCAAATCAACGTGTAGCGTGCATCGAACCCATTTCTTCCACAAGCGCTCCCCAGCATACAGTTGAAACACTTGCTGCTTCATGTTGACTGAAGACTTACTCAGCGTTACTCCATATGATTGTGTTGCACGCCCGGAAAAGCCCTCTAAACCCTGCCGAAACTGCAACTTCAGGAAAATGTGTACCTGCAAGTTTCAACAGACATGACACCCCAGTTGAGATCCCAAATAATAGATGCTCAGTATAGCTAACCGCCAAGAAGAAGACAACTCGGAAAAAGACAACTCCAATCTCAAGCAACATCCGGATTGTCGCGACCTCTTCCTGGAATTAGCGCCCGAGCGCGTATCTCATCCTTTGGAGCACTCGTGTATCGGATCAAGGCGTGGAGGTTTTTAGCCTCTACAGACTTCTTCTAAGATACAGAGTTGGGACTAATGCGTTGGGTTGGTGCTCAGACTTGCAAGTGAGCCAGAGGCTGGTCTTCACATGGTTGCAGCCAGTGTTAGTACGATGTTGAACATGTTAGAAGGTTGAAGGTTGACCTACAGTTCATGCGGCGTGATACATTTGAAGTTGCCTCTTCTGGGTGCGTCGATTTCAACATCGTGCTCAGGAGGAATGATGCCTGACACGGATCGGCGTATGGTAGCAGTGATCTAGACGAAAAACGGAGCCTCTGACTAAGTGGTGGCCCTCCCAGTGCCATTGCACTCAAATATTTTTGCGAAACAGGAGAAAGCTTCTCACAGCCACCCCACAACGCGCACACACACACACACACTAAACCGTTAAACCCGAAGTTCTGCATCCCCCAAGTCCTTTCCCGCTAAACCTTAAATCCTGGACCCTAAATCCTAGCCGTAAACCCTAACCCTTAAACCCCGCAACCTTTAATCCAAACCAACCCTTGACTGCAAATTATAAGTACTGAAGGTTGTAACCCCTTAACCCTAAGCCCAAATTCTTGCAAGTTTGGCGGTTACACAAGACTGTGGCAGAAGCCTTCCAGGGTGCCAATTGTCTTTCGGGGACTTTGGGCTAACAAGGCGTTTGAGGCATATGCCTAGGCGCGGAGGGTTTGACAGGTTGACACCAGCCAGTTGTCCTTCACCCTACAGCTCTGCGTGCAGCTCCAATTATGAAACCGTTTGGTATGCTTTGGGGCTGCAGGTCTACACCAAACTGGGCCCCGGACGGAAAAATCATGCAATTCCCGCCTCAGTCTTTCCGGTTTTGGGGCTTCACAGCCTTAGAGTCAAAGCCTCAGACATGGGAATGAATGCAGGGGCCCAGTACGGCCGAGCTTTATGAGGTGGTGTGGAGCAAAAAGAACTAACACACAAGACTCACAAAACTTCTATGCTGAAATTCGGGGCATCAGTTTAGAACGGTTTGGCGCAAAGCTTCCATGCAACCAAGAGGTGTATGATCGCACAGGGTCTATAAGAGTGCAAGATCCAGCACTGAAGACTCCACGTTTGCTACGGTGCGGTTGTGTTGTATATCCCTGAGCCTCTATATCCCTCTATATGTCTTTATGTGCCAAGATGTGGAATGTGAGGGTGTAGTGTATTCTACACAACCTAATGCCGGTGACCCTGCATTGGCAACAACAAAAACGACATCATGGAACAACTTCAGCCTAAAGACATTTCGCGAAAGTGTCCCTCCGACACCAGGCTGATCGGGCGTCGAAGTCCCTAGGCCTCAAAGCTTAATGCCTGTATAACTAGATACAGTAGAGAGGTGCCGGGGGGTGTTTGTACCCTGAGGTGACTAAACCCTACAAAGGAGCATCGATCCGCGAATGCTGCGGCGCTCAAGCTTCAGCTGCTTTATGGTTCAGGGTTTAGGGTCTCAGGATAACCTGACATAATCTCCATGTTTCCTAAGTCCTAGGTAGCTTAGCATAGCCTTGCTGCAAGCCCATTCCCTTCAATCTCCACACAGCCGTCGGCATAGTATCGACCCAGACCAGTGATCGGAGACCCCGGCCAGAGCAGCCTGGAGAAGCTAAAACCTCAAAGCCTAGAACTATAGAACCGAGCCATCGACATCGAACGCGTGAATTAAACCTCAAAAAGTTTAAATACACGAAGCCAGAAAGCCGGCACCCTGAGATCCCTGCAGAAGCCGCGGGGCCGGAACCTCTCTGGCAAGTTGTTCTCTGAGGGTCTGTTTTCTGAGCACAAGTTTGCCCCTGCTGTTTGCGCTTCGGAACTGCTGTAGAGAGGCTACTTGAACCTGCGATTCGACGGCAGATTTTAATCTGCAGAGCTTGTTTCTTCAGCATCAAACCCTGAAGCGAGAATACAGAGTTGAAAACTTGTACTATCGGTGACTATCGAAGTCACTCCTGAATCCAAAGCAAAACAGTCAAATTCGGCTCCTTGCCAACGAACCTCCGAAGTGAAGGCCCCAAGCCCCAAAGCCACCTACTGAGGCACAATGCGAAGCTCTGACACGCCAGCTTCACGAAAACAGGGATCCAAATTTGCAAATTGAAAGACAACAACTTTAATATTAAGGAACCCGTGCAGATTAAACCGGAGGCCGCGTCTACGCAAGAGCCGCAACCCTTAAATTCCCAAGACACCAACACCCCAACGTCATAAACAAATTGAAACTGAAAACACCAAGAAAGGAAATCCCGAATCCTGAAACCGCACAACCCTAAAGCCGTAGGTCCTGAACCCTGAAACTCTAAACCCCAAAACACTACGTCCTGAACCCCTGCAGGCCTAAACTGGCCTACACCCCAAAGCCACAACGCACTGACGCCGAGAAACTCAAGCCCTCAAGCAGCTACGTAAACACCACCAAGCCCCTCTCAGTCTTAGGCTGCTCTGGCCTGGCCCTCTGTCTCAAGAGGGACACCCGGCCTCCGGCGCGCTAGACGCCATGTCTTTGATGACGGCCAGCGCCATCCAGTCCTGGAGGGCCAAGACTCAGCCGCAAAACGTTTAGGGCTTTTAGGATTGCTTACGCCTATGGTGGCGATAAACTGAACTACCACCTGGGATGTGTTAACACACATGGGCTGCGTTAAAGGGTCGTCATACCGAGGATCCTGCGGTCTGTATCGGGTCCCCTCTGCTGCTGAACTTCCACCAACCTGCCTTGCTTGAGGATATAGACGCGGTGTTTACCAGTCGCAGACAGGCTAAAAAGGCAGTCCGGGCCTTCACCAACGGATTGGACAAGGCATTCAAGATCAGTTGGCAGTATCTTGAAATATTCTGATCCCAGTGCCGCGAAGGGCGCCGTACTTCAGAACAGCCCACCATTCTTTCCTGGAGCATTCTGCCAGCCTATTCACTCCAATCCTTCGCCGCCTTTTTAGCCGGAGGTAGGTAGGCAGCTGGCAGCATAAGACTTTTTACAAATTCATGTTCAAGTCCCACTGCCGTCAATCCTCCATGAAGGACACGCACCTCAAAAGCAAGACGACGGTAAAACCACCCTCGACCAATAAAACAAGAAAACACTCAAAATCCTGCAACCCCGGATCCCTCGCGGCCTCGACTGGCATTGCAAACTCTTCCCTGCAGATTCGCGTTAGTTCTTCATCTGTTCGGGCGGGTGCTAGGGACTAGATGACTAGATCTGGTTCAGGGCCCGATCTTAAGCGACTAGAGCCTTACATGCACGAAAGATCAGGGCACTGGATGGCTTGTTGCAGTTACAGAGTGGACAAGAACATGGGGCCTGCGACTCCTCAAGCCTTGAAGCCGCCTTCCTAGGCCACACTCTCCAATCGAAGCGTAACGCCATCAAACCACAAGAACAGAAATCGCTGGATGATTGTCTTCAGGAGCCGTTGGCTGGCCAAACGGGATGCGTGTCGTCTCAGTAGAGTCTTCACCCATACTGAATACTGATTTCCTCCGCAATTGAGGGTATGCTGATCTGAAACCCAACTAACTTCTTCAGATTCAGCGCTCGCCTAGGCTTAAACCGTTCAATATCGAGTTTGAGCCCATATTGCCACCCCCCGTGCTACCGTGTCATCTCCGGATGGTTTGGGGTTTGGGACACGCCGGGGCTTCCGAGCCTCGAAACGACTATGGGCGCCTCTTAACTTAAAATTCAGAATAGTGACGTCGCATTGCTGCGTTCGGGTCTGGGCCTTGTCACGCATGATCTTGTCCCTTGCTGTTTTGCTATCGTCCTTGTAATGGCTTTACGTGTTCGGTCGAGGTTTGTTGGAAAGTTGCTATGTCCAGAGCTTAACACTTTGCCTCGGCCCCGGCCGATGAGGTCCTACCACGGGGATTCCATGTTTCTCCATGTCTCTCCGCTTCTTAATTCCCTCCCAGAGTCTTAGCCGGCCCCACGCCCCCTTGCCTACATCCGATATGATTCTGCTGGCGAAGAGTCATCACTCGCCCGATGTGCCCNNCCCCCCCCCCCCCCCCCCCGTCCCTCCACCTCCCTGCTTGCAGCGAGGCAAGACGAGCATTCGGTTACGTCAATTCGTGAAGCTGATGCCGGAATTCTGGGACTGTGTCTTGTCGTTGCAAAGCTTGATTCCCCTTCCAACATATGGGAGGTCCGGTTGTATACGAGACGGGTGAGTAGTGTGATACGGTTATTACAGTAACGTCTATGCGATAATGCAGGGATTGTGCCACTTCTTTCGCGCGGGATTATTGCTCAAAGCCTTGGCATGAAAACGAAAACCTGCCTTTAAAAACATTCTGAAGCAAATGCGCTCATTCACTTAAGACTTCACCTGTGCGACCTAATTGCCTGTTGCTTGCCGAAACAATGCACCTGCTTCAAGTACAGCCGGGCCGAGGCGGACGATGCGAAGCGTTCAAAGTCAAGTCAAGTCTTTTGTGCCGTAGGCCAGCGGCTAGAGCTTAAACTTTGCGGCCTAGGGCTGCAGAAGTTTCTCCTTTCAAAACACCAGGCCCTCAACCTTCAATTCTGAACCTCACCTGTCCTGTTCGGACCTCTAGCTAAGCAGGTTGACCCGAAAGATACGAAGCTCTAGAGCTAGACGGTGAGGTTTTGGAAGGAGTCTACGATCAGGGTCTAAAAGGGCTCTGCAAGGGCCACGACAAAACTGACCGGTTGTGCGTGCGTTTCTCTGTATCTGGGCTCCGCACATAGAGAGTTGCAGGGCTTGGTATTTTGGATCCGCCGATAGGCCTTCGTGCTTCTGTCTAGGGTCTTCGGACAAGAGGATTTGGGGCTTCCGGGTCTGGCGTACTGCTGCTCGCACTGGGTGTTTGTGCTGCGGATTCTTGGGTTTGGGCGGTTAGTTCCTCAGGGCTTTGGGCTTTGGCTCCTCGACCTCCCGTGGACCCTGGCGATGTCACTCAGGCCCATTGTCCGGGTGGCTTAGAGCAAAGGGCATTCGTGAGGCAAGGCGGATTCCCGTAGCACGAAGCTATGCAGAAAGTCGCAAGTCTGCAGAAGATTGCCTGTGATCGTCCGGGCACAGTCGCTCTTCGCCCTATCGAGCCCGATCATTCACCAGCGCTTCAGACTGTTGTAGGTTTCGAGGAGTTGCGCGGCTTTGATTCTGTGGGGTCAAGCCAAAGAGCTCAGCCTGCAAAGATGTGGCCTGAAGAACTAGTTTGCAAGGCTTGCAGATCGGCATTTAGCGAGTCTGAATCTAAGATCCCTGCGGAGAAACACCCATGAGCATGGCTTTGATCGTAACGCTTCCACACCAGGCATGCCCAACAAGTGGTGCTTGTCCAGACGAGACACAAATCCTTCAAATTCCCTCCAAGACCCTCTTCCCGATAAGCTCTATGTGCACACTTAGAACCCCAAAGCCCAACTCCGTAAACTCTGAAATCGTCAGCCCTGAAACCCATGCGTGGAAAACCTGTGCCTCGGGCCCCAAAAACCCCTAAGTGCCCCACGCCAAAGAAGTAGTGGGCTTCCGGGCTTCAGAACCTCACCGGACCAGCAACCGGCTTAAGGTAAATAAGTTTCAGAGCGTTCGGCTGTAGTATCTAGCTGTTACTGTAAGGTTGATGTGATGAGCTTTGCTTTGCTTGTACAGAGCTTTAGGCTTTGGAGTATTGGTCCCGGTCGGAGGTAGTTGCTGCTTTTGTAGAGTTGCACTAGGACGCAGGGCTGTACTGGGCTTCTGGAAACCTCCACGAGATTTCATGTTTTTCTGCCAGATTCTCGGCGGAAAGGATTACCTGCAATGGTTCAGGATGAGTTCGGAGTTTGGGTTTGCACTGAGCTGTTGGGTTTGGAAGTCCCCAGAGGGGTTGAGGCGAAGTTCTACGGAACTGTGCGGAGGTTTACTACCAAATGCTGCTGACATCAATCGTGTCAGTGACGCTAATGCTATTACCCGAGTCCAGGGTTGTACAAAGGCTATAGCAACCGATCTACACCATTTAGATATGAAGCACCCCAACTGCGTAAAGCTTCTGCCGCAAGACAGGGCTAGAAACCTTGAGCCGCTGGCCTGTTCCACATGTATATATGGCAAACACATGGTGTCGATCTAGCCCCCATAGGACATCCTAGACCCCAAACAGTAATCAGTCCAATGCAAATGCTGAAACTCCTGCCCCGCAACCCTATGCCCGAATGACCCTAGCCAAGCAAACAAAACACATCCTGATAGCGGCTGCAGTTCACCCTGCCAAGACATCGAGTCGTCATGCCAGAAACCTTATCCCCGGACACACAAACAAAGAGATATGCGTGTAGGTATACATATATGCATTATTATATACATATACATATATATATATACATATATATATATATATATATGTATGTATATAGATATATACAGATATACATCCAAATCCTGAAAGGGGTGGCTGCTGGGCCCTTGGCATTATCCGCCAGAAGCACCGCTCCCTGGTGGAGAAGCTTCGCCCCTGGTTTTTGCAGAGGATGTACAGTTTGGATTTCGGGCTTTGGGCTAAAGGACTTAACTACAGTGCGAGTGGACTAGTCGTTTTGGGCATGCATTTAAGATTGTGGGTGGAGGTTCACATTTATGGCAATTTCTGGCTTCTTGGGCTTCGGGGTTGTGGGTTTCGGTTTGAAGTTTTAGGGCCCATTTTGGGGCTTTAGATCATGCCGACACGGTGTTCAGGTTGATGTTTCAGGGATAGACATGGAGCCCTGACGCTGCCTTGCTGAGAAATCTCGACAGGACTTCGTTGATAAAGCACTGTTTGGGATCTTGGTTTCCGAAGGCGTGCAGCGATTTGAGGACTTGAAGCCGTCAGCACGTCGAAGTTCAACATCCACTGTGCAACTCCGAATAGTGACACCTGGATCGGCCATGTAGGAATGCATCGTTCAATCGCTGTCCTTCCCCTGACCCCTGTTTACGCTTGTAGAAGCCAAGCCTCAAGGCTGGCCCCTCTGGCTTCAAACTAAGGGCAGGGCCCCAAACAGTGTCCTGTGTTCGGGATCTGCGCTAGGGCCCTCGTGTATAGGATACATAGCTCGGTTGTAAGCATACGTACATATAAATATATGTGACAATGCAACACGGGCTGGAACACTCCCACGGTCTGCTTTTGCGGCGTCTTGTAAACTCAGCATGCAGTGGGATACATTCGCAAGAAGCCCTGTGTAGCAACTCGCATCTGGGGGTGCGAGCGCTCTAGGGCGTCAAGGTCTTCGTGGTACAACCTGAGTTCTTCATGGCAACACAAGGCAGTGAGAATTGAGTGGTAGTGGTATAGTACTTGTAAGAGATTAATGATTAGTTCTAACCGCAACAAGAGCTTGGTTATCGGGCTCACAAGAAGTACGACTTGTTGTAATTTCGGGGCCATAGGGCTCGCAGGATTAGAGCCCTTGAAAAGGGGGGGCGAAGGCCTTGAACCCCAAAGCCCAACCCTAAACCACAACCCCTGGAGCCCAATACCAGAACTATCTAGAACACCTAAAAACTGCCCAAAGAATCGTTTTATTTCCCATCTAGCCTTAGGCATCCTTCCAAAAGCCAACATGGAATCCCAAAGACGCGTGTAAAGGGGTCTACTGTAGGGGCTCCGTTTCGGCTTGCATTTTGGTTTCGATGAACTGAAACATTACAGTAGGGCCGCCGTGATGAGAACGGAGTCAATGATGGCGTGCGGTTGTAATTCAGTAAGCACATCGCTCGTAAGAGCTGCTGAAATCTTCAAAACCAATGTGTGTCGGGCTGTTTTCCGTTCTACAATATGCACCCCAGATCCACATTGAGGCTGTGTTCTAAATCAGGGCTCCCTTGACGGTAGGAACCATACCGCACCACAGTCACCTATGAGAAGCTCATCCTCTGGTTTGCACATTCTCTTGACTAAGGTCCCCAGAAAGGATTTTCTCAATGGGCTCATCTTGACAGGAACCTGTCTAAAGTCTAATGATGTGTTCCGTTTGTATGTGGGTATGCACATATATATATATATATATATATAAACTCTTTGACGCTCAGGCCTACAGAACAATCGCTGTCGTTGTGCTTCTGTTTCAGGTGTTAATTTGACGAAACCGTGGGTTGCTGCCCTTAGCCACAGAACCTCCTATGATTGGCCTAGGGTCAACCAACAAGAACCAGACGGTCCAAATCCCAACACCCTCAAACAAGCAAGTAGGGAGATGCTTTCCGTTCATGCTATGCTTTCGGTGCACTCGCCGTTTGGGGGTCGTTAGTTGCCCCAAGGCCAGGCGGTTTCTACCTGTCGTCTGAGCTCGGAGCGAACCTCGCTGGTCCATGAACACGAAGCCGAAGCTGCCGGGCCTTCCAGATTTTGGGGTTTAGGTCCTGGGCTGTTTTGCGGTTGGGGGTTGGGTCTTAAGGCCTAGGGCTAGGGGTAACAGAGTTATGGGTAGGGTGTAGGTAGGGCTCTAAGGTGCGGGAACTGAGGGGCGGGGGACGGGGTTGCGGGCTCAGGGTTGGAAGTTCGTGGCCTTGAGGTAGAATGTGCTAGAATTGAGGTCTATAGAATCTATAGGGCTTCGGTGGAATATGGGAGATGAGGGTCTCGAACCCGGCTCTGCCGATAGTGGAAGGTTGTCCGGGCCTTTTACATGGCTGTGGTGAGTGCCTTGCGGTACTAGGCTTCTCATGGGGCTTGCTTTAGGTAGTGTTTCGGTTAAGGGTGTCTTGTTTCCACAGGGCCATCATTGTAAGATATTTGGCACATTAACAACAATACTTTCTTGCTACTAATAAAAACACGACTGAAGTTGCGATTGCTATCACCATTCTATCTATATTGCTATATGCAAACTAACGATCTGCCGAGGCCCACTGGCATTCAATGACAGGATGCACAATGACTCTGCTGATTTCTCCGAAAGCACACAAAAACCTTGACGTCTTTAGGCCAACAGGGAGTTCGCCTAATCGCTGGAACACCTTGGCGATCACATGCATGAATGCTCGACATGAAGTCCTAAGCCCGCGTGAATCCTAAACTCAGCCCTAAACTCATTCCTAAACTCAAAGCACTTCTCTAGACAATCTAAAATAACTCCCTGAACCCTAGACTTTCCCTTTCTAATTCCTGAAGCTTCAGACTGACGTTGCAGTTGCAGAGATCGATGGGGATGCGGTCTTACTTCTGGGAGAACGATTGCTCCACCTCCAGCCTTATGTCTCAAACCATGTTCCGGGCACTTAATCTCGACGCTGTTAAGGCTTAAAGTCCCTAAGACCATGAGGGGCTTACGGCTGCATAGAAACATGCAGCAATGCGATGAAGCTTCCGAAATCACAATGTTGGCTCCGAAGTCCGGGACAGTTTCTTGACAACGGTAATGCCATAAGGCTAAGCAATGAACACCTGGCAGTAAACCGCCGCCTGAAGTGTGCAGATAGTCGAGGGAGCCTTTCTGCAGCAAGGAGTCTACGCATGCCGTCGGGCTTCGCAGAGAAGTTGGAACTCATCATCTTCTTGAAATCTTAAAACCCGCAAGCCTCTAGGCCGTATATAGGCCCTAGGAACATGTTTCCTTCAAGCAGACAATATGTTGCTAAACTCTATGGCCATCCAAGGGGGTTCGACGCTTTCTATGTGGTCCAAAAGCGCCCTTCATCATCCCGAAACCCTCAACCGGAAACGCTGTTCCCGGCACGTTGGGTCAAACTACTCCGGTTTTCCATTGCATCCCGAAGTCCTGAACTAAGCCTCAACCCCAAAACGCTGCTGTCCAGCGAAAGGTACTCTCTAAGAATCTACGACAAGGACTCTTAACCCGGAAGCCCTCAACTTCGAGTCTATAAGATTAATCAATAAAGACTAGCGTTTTGGGGGGCCGGTAAACTCTGTACCACAGTACCATGTTATGATGAGATAACGCCATGGGCCTATAATTACTACAAAATGAATGCAAGAGCAAAACCTGCTACAGGGAGATCCCACTGAAAGGCTGCAGCCTACCGGGTCCATTGTGCCCCGAAGGTGGCGAGAAGCTCAGTGCGGGGCAGGTCGGTGCTGTGCCTGAGAAGAGCTGCGAGCTGTGGTTTGAGGGTTGTGGCAACGTCTAGCAGCTTAGGGCTTGGGGTTTGGAGTCTATCCGGGCGGTTGGGTTGATTCGGGCTACGACGTCTGTAATATGGGACCAGATCCTACTCCCCAGACCGGCAACTTCTCCGAGCAAATCCTGGTCAACTCCAAAACCCAACCCTGTGATGCAGGGGCCTTCATAACTAGATCAGGATTTTGGAGTGTGCTAGTTATAATTAGGGACTATATCGACTGCTACGTTGTATTCTGACACCTACACCAGCCGGTATCGCCACCGTTTGCTCAAAGCTGCAGTTCATCACTGTCTCTAAACCCGAAACATCGCAAGCCGAAAATACCGTGCGATCCCCCCGTCCGAACAAGATTACACTCCAAACTTGACCTCCCTCTCTCTGCAGATATCGGGTCGAGGAGCCCGGTCCACACCGTGACCCGTGGAGGCTCGAGGCCTCAAGGATGGAAAATCGGCTTCTGATACTTTGCTACCTGTAAGACTTCTCCTTCATCAGTTGTGCCAGGATTGTGGGGCTCCACAATGTTTACGTCAACGAAGAAGAGCTCTAGGAATGTAGTTTATCAGCCGAAATCTTGTATTGAATTGAACCCTAAGGGGTAAGGTTTTTTGGAAGATGCAGCATTGGAATTTGTATCTGCATTGAAGCACTCCACGCTGCGCCCGAACCCCAACTACCTGTCGCTGACATGCTGCTACGACACACTGCAGGAATCCGCTGAGACCCCGGACAGCTCCCAAACCAATTAGGACCGGTCCGGAAGATGCTTCACGCTCTGCACACAAAACGACAGAAAAGGCCCCATGAGCAGCTATGTATGTCGCTCAAGCTTGCGGGCTTGGAACCTAGCATGGAGAGTTCCGGGCTACATGATTGCGTGATGACCTTTGCAGGATATGATGAGGCTGGGCTGGAGTCGAGGGTGTCCAAGGCAGAAACATTCGCGGGAATTACGCCGCGTGAACTTTCAGTTTTGGGTTCTGGGGCTCAGTTTCTGGTTTCGAGTTGCATCTTGAGTTTAGGGCTTTAGGAATCGAGCACGACTCACCCGAACCCAACAATAAGCTTTGAATGAGTTTTCGATGTACCTATGCCGGACAGGGTTCAAGGTTTCGGCCTCCAGCCCCCCAAAGTCTCAAATAGCAACCGGAATGCACCAAACCCCAAGGCCCTGAGGCCCGAACACACAGCCGTACACCCTGAATCGGAAATACTCCTGAACAACCGAACCTGCCTGCGAAGGCCAAAACATTTCGGGCAATGAGCACGTGCGCTGGATCCTCGGACAGCTGCAAGGATTTAGGGTTTAGGGTCTACTCTGGGCCCTATAATCCGAACAATCCGACCAGGGATTTAGATGTGTGGGTTGAGAGTAGCAGCACATCACTTGGGGATGGCACGCTGCAGTGTACGGTATGTAAAATAAAGAGGAGCTGCTACTGAAACCCGAACCACCAGCACCATCTGGTGGCATGCACTCCAGGCTACCCGGAATTAGACTAGCCGCTAGCCATCCTGGAGGATCCTAGTGGTGGGTTCCTTGCAGCTACTACCATTACTACTACTAATACTACCGCGAGTACGACTACGACTATGATGACTGCTCCTGCAACTGCGACTGCGACTGCTAGTGGTAGCAGTACTAGAAGTAGTGGTAGTAGTTGTCGTCGTGGTGCTTGCAGCAGCAGCAGCAGCAGCAGCAGCAGCAGCAGCAGCTGCAGCTGTAGCAGCAGTGGCGGTAGAAGCAGCAGTAGCAGTAGCAGTAGCAGTAGCAGTAGCAGTAGCAGTAGCAGTAGCAGTAGCAGTAGCAGTAGCAGTAGCAGTAGCAGTAGCAGTAGCAGTTTCAGTAGCAGTAGCAGTAGCAGTAGCGTA